TACGAGAAGAGTTCAATCAAAGCAGGCACGAGAGAACGCCGTACCAGGACTATTCGCCCCGTTCGTCGTGTAATTGAGAACAAGAATGTTCCACTTCCGAACAGCTGGTCAAATTTCTTAGCTTTACCGGAAAACAAGGCAAACTTGGCCAAATTTCTGTCCGAACACTTAATTGCAAATGCACCTCAAGAGAAAGTCATTGTTGTTGCAGGTGGATTTTCCGACGGAAAAGAAGCGCAATTGTCAAGCCAATTGGTTGATCCTTATCTTTTGTGTGGAGATCACGAAGAAGCTGATACAAGACTGGTTCTACATGCTGTCGTCAACAGTTGTGACACGGTTGTTGTGTCTGCCAGAGATACTGACGTACTGTTACTTCTTGTGGCGCATTTGCCAAGTATGCCTTCTCCAAATGTGTGGATGATTGCAGGAACAGCGGCCAGGCGCAAGTTCTTTAACATTAGGGCGATAAGCGAGAATCTTCCCGCGGGATCACTATCAGCGCTCCTCCCTTTCCATGCGCTGACTGGTTGTGACACAACGTCATATATCTCCAACCACTCTAAATTGTCAGCGTGGAATACATTTCAAGACAAACATTACCTTCTAGCGTCGCTAGGTGGAGGAGAACTATCGGCCAACAAAGTCAGGGATGCCGAAAAGTTCATCTGTGCGATTTACAACTGGGGGCACATGGAATCAGTGAATGATGCGCGAGTTCTTCTCTTTTCGAAGACAAAGAAACCTGAAGCGTTGCCTCCGACCAAGGATGCACTGGAATTGCATATCAAGCGCTTGCACTATCAATCACTCGTGTGGAGACAAGCTTCATGCCAGGATCCTATCCTACCAAACCCGGACGGAATGGGATGGAAGAGAGAAAACGAAGGCGGCAGTAAACTCTTCCCTCTCCTTATGACAAAGGAACCCATTCCGAACGTATGCAAGGAAATTATATCCTGCTCTTGTAAAGGTGGCTGCACGACATTATGCTGTGGCTGCAAGAAAGTAAAGTTGTTCTGTACTGGCGTGTGCGGCTGCTCTGTGGACGGAAATATTTCCTGCAAGAACAAATGCGATAAGTGAACAGAACAGTGAGGTATGATCAGAATTTAGAATACGCGCTAAGTATATTTGGGAGCTTTCCATGCACTGTGTCATATAATTAACTACTTTGATATTTAACCGCAATGCATTTTGCAACGTTATATAGACATTTAATGATAATGAGCATTTATTGAATTTTTTTTAACATTTTTTGCCAACATAAAGGTGAAAGATATTTGTGATTGAAAATGGCTTAAACATGCTGTAATTGGATGAGTAACAAATCTAAAATATTTATTTCTCTTGAATCGATATGTGCTGTGACGTCATATGTAGACGAAAGTTGTGGCGTCATTTTCGACTACTCAACTGCAGATTGAGATCTGGCGACCATCATTTTCGAATTCAGCGTGTTAAATAACATTAGAAAACTATGATCGCCAACTTTTACTAAAAAATGCCTCTTGATGTACGATTTTCCGAAATTTCGTCTAGTCTAAAATCACTGGTCTCACTGCTATAAATAGTGTAATATGATATATTTTTATTTCTCAAGATCTCGCCTAGACAGGCCAGCCCATGCAGTTCCATATAAATGCAAGATGAATATTATAATTAGTTTAAATTACATAGCGACGTTAGATCACGGCAAAGCGAGCTAGCTCGGGTATCCGGCTGGCTCTGGTACCCCCTAAGGAAATGAATAAATGTTATTTTAATGCCCAGCTGTTATCCAAGATCTAAGGCATGGGATAAAGTCTTGGCTAGGCAAACTGGAAAAAAGGTTTATGTAACTAATGCATATTGGTAGGTAGTGGTGCCAGATTACTTTAAGTGTCTGCCTGGCCAAATACAGACAATCCAACTCTCCCAATTTTACCGGGAGTCTCCCGAAAATTCATGTCTCCCGAAAATTCATGCAATCTCCCGGTCTCCCGATTTTTATCAAATTCTCCCGATTTTTCAGAATATTCAGGAAATATCATAAAAAATTATGTATATACTGTTTTAGCAACATAATAGTCTGTCTTGACCTTTTTTGAAGTTGCTTTATGGCAATTTATAGGATCACTTATAACAACATATTCCCAAAATGCAGGAAATGCCATTTCAGAAGACTTAATTTTTATTATTTTTCCCCTGAAGAACTAGATTTCAATTCACTGAACAGTCTCCCTAATTTTTACCTCCAGTGGTTGGAATGTCTGCAAATATAAATTAATAAATTTTCCCTTAGAACTCCAGTTGGTAATGAGTAGTGGCTCAAATAGGATTAGAGCTTAAGGTGATGATGTATCATGACAATATGTTGCAAATGGCTCGATCAATTTATAGGTGGCATGACTTTGAGATTTGCTTGTGTGAATACAGTTTTTTGCTTACTGCTTAGTACCTTTGTTCCAGCAAGCCCATATGCTTGCCTCAACAGTCTCACAAATTGAAAAACCAAGCAAACTTGTTGCATTGTAGCTGTAATCAATTGGGGACTATGTCCTGTGACGATGTCCTGTACTATGTAATGTGAATACTTTAATAACAATAAAAATAGGTACGCAACGCGTACATGTATCTGCGAAAAAAACTTGATTCACATTTTGTATTTTCTTGAAAGAAACTGAATAACGAAGATGACATGGGACAATTGAAATATTTCATCACTTATTATAATAGCAGATAAGATTTAAAACAGGACTGTGCACAGCGGGGAGGGCGGCAGGACAAGTGCTCCCCCCCCACCCCCGCACCAAGAAAATTTAACTAACTTTATAAAGTGATTATGATTGTAACAGATAATTATGCAGTCAGAAAATAAAAATTTCATGCAAACAATATTCAAAGTGTCTATACAGCCGGCTATTTAGTAAACTG